AGGTGCAATTTCACAATTTGTGTATATTTTCTAAGTTCACTATTTTGTCATGTGTTGAGAAAAACACAGATTTAAAAATTACATGGTCTAATATTTACATTTAGCATAACTGCAACATTCTTTTTTCGTTTTTTTTTTTTAAAGACTCTAAAGTACTTGAAATTCAAAATTTCAGACTTGTGACTTTACTCGGACTTTTACACCAGTGACTTGAGACTCGACTCTGACTTGCCTGACATTACTTGAGACTTGACTTGAGACTTGAGGATAAAGACTTGAGACTTACTTGAGACTTGCAAAACAATGACTTGGTCCCACCTCTGCTCTTTAACCCTGTGGTGAGGGGACTCTGTTTGTAACCTTAGCGGCAGGCTTCACTGTAAATAAGCACAAAGGTTTTCTGACTGATCACTTTTCCCGTTGTCCTGATGGGAATGGTCACTTTCATGATTATAATGCTTCCATCAGTAGGGTGGTGGAGTGTCGACAGATCTCCAACCAGCTAACACTACGGGGAGATTTGGGACAGACATATTTGACATAAGCAACTCAATTCGCATTAATTAAGGGAATATAGTTCAGATGATCTCTTAGTTCCTACATGGTCATCGTCGTCTCCACAGGTGTGCTGTCAAGTCAGCAATGGTTGTACAGGCGGTGACCATTTTCCATCATGAGGAACAAAGAAAGTCATCCTGCTCGGATCCTGCCCCTTCATCCTGGGACCCAGCAGATGACCTCCGCTGCATCACCACCACCTTCCAGTATCTGCAGACTTCTGGTACGCCAGCCACATTTAAACACTTCTAGTGTCAGTGTCCATGTGGCTATTAAAAAACAAAAAACAAAAACACTAATAACTGAACTGTCTTCTTCCACAGGTTGGTACTGGGGTCCCATCTCAGCAAGTAAAGCTCGGGAAGCTCTCCTCACAAAGTCTGAAGGCACATTCCTGGTGCGGGACAGCAGCCATCCACAGTACATGCTGGCTCTGTCAGTGAAGACTCGCTGTGGACCTACCAGCGTGCGTATAGAGTACAGCAAGGGCTGTTTCTGGCTGGACTCTGTCTCCCCTGGCCTGCCTCAGCTGCAGTCCTTCCCAGATGTTCTCAGCCTTATACAGCACTACACCAGCTCAGGCCACGCAGCACAGGACCAGACATCTAGTGACATTCACCCCCAAATGGAACCTGACCCTTCCCAGCACGCAGCTAAAGACAGAGGAGTACCCCTGAAGCTGAAGCACCCGCTTCACAAACTGGAGGTTTTCCCTTCTTTGCAGCACCTGACACGCCTCACCATCAACAGGCACACTAACTGCCCCAACCAGCTGCCCCTCCCAAAGCCTCTGCTCTTCTACTTGCAGGACTATCCTTTCTCTATATAATACCTGCCCCTCAGCGACAGGACAGTCAGACTGGAATATGGTCGCGTCGTTGAGCGGATACTGTGAATCGGGGACTCTTTGATATATTTATGTATAATAAACCACTCTTGACCTCACTGCTCATGAATGAGCTTATTCTTACTGCACTGCTGCTGGTATTCTTCAATAAATATTCAATTATTTTTACATGCCGACCCCAGCTACTGTGAAATGTGCAATGCCAATATGTGAGTTGTTTTCTTTCCTTCTTTTTTTGATAATGTGGCCCAGTGAGAAGAAAGCAGCTCCTAAACCAGCTGTTTCGAGTGTTCTTCAATACAGCAGCCTCCGCTTATAAATAATAAATCAGTGAAGAAAACATCTACTCTGTGCTTTGTTGCTCTAGCAGAGATGACAGTAATAATTTGGGGTTTCGTAACTTAAAAACAGTTTTTCTCCAGTGGAAGAGATTAAAACTCCAAAATACACACAAACAGATGTGTAAACTGCAAAACAAGACAAAACAACATGTGAGACAAATAAAGGAACCATGCAGACTCTGTACCCAGAGTTCTGCTGTCAATTCAGTGTTTGCATATAATGTGATGTGGACTTCTTTAGTATTCACAATCCTGACAGAAATCTGATATCTTTCATTTCCAGAAAGGAAACATAAACAAATCAAATGCTCTTCAACGAATGCAAAAGCCAACAAAGAGGGCCTGTTTGTAGCTTGTAGAAGAGGATTATAAATACCATTTCTGAGAATTAAATCTCGGAAATGTTTGTTTTTCCAGCTGTTGTGTGTGTGTGTGTGTCTTTCCCTCCCTCCCCTCTTCTGAATTACTGGTCACTTGAGCACACAGATAAATGTGAGGTATTACTGTTTTCATGGAAGCGCATCTGAGCTCGTTTCCACGAGTTGGAACTGAGCAGCGCAGAAAAAGCCTCTTATCAGGATTAGAGTAAGTGCTGCGGTTATTAATACACTGCTGCACTGCCAGCTCACGCTCTGTTTGTGTGCCTTTCAGCTCCAACCTGCCGCCGAAAGGCTTAAATCGTTTCTCAGGCCACAGTTAAATGATCGGGATAAGCAGAATAAAATCTCTATCGAGATCACATTGATCTTTATCAGAATGAGGCTCCTTCATTGGGATTTACTGCAATATTAAATGAAGCCATGTGCCATTTAAGAGCTATATGCTGATACAGGAGGAGAGCTCAGGTTGAAGTAAATGTTGCAGCAGCTCAGTGTAGAAATACTTCATTACAATTTAAAATTCTATTTAAGTAGTGACTAAAGTAAATGAACTTAAAGGATCAGACCATTAATACTCATGATACAGATAAGTCAGTCTACAGCAAATTCTTACTGGCAGCTGGATGTCAGTAAAGTTACTGTAAAAAGTGACAGTAAAAACTTTTTACAGTAAAAAAAACCCTTCTGTAAATGATGTAATTGCATTTACAATAAAGTTGCTATAATTTGATTTTACAGTAATTTTTCTGTCATTTCTATATGCAACATTACTGTCATTGAATAAAGATCAGACTTCTACTATACTGTACTCTATAATCTCTTAAATCAGACTTTATAAGATGCTCATGTTTTTTGTAGTCTTTACAAAAGTGTATAACAGCATGAACACAGTGCTGTCATGGAAAAATGAGACTTCATCCACTGACATGAAAGCACTGATGGGCTGAACTTTATCTATGGATCTCAAAGCTGTGAAGCAGATTTATTAGAAGTGATCACAGAAAACATTTTGGCACGTCACCCTTTTTCCTGCTTCAGTTTCACGCTGTCAGGCGTGCCTGTGGCCTATTGAAAAGGACATTTAGTCGATGCATTGACTTTCATGGTGCGTACGCCTAAAATAGTTTAGGATTATTTAAAAATGTTGCAGCGTTACCTATCAAAAATCAGTTAGCAGACTAAATCCAGGTAATACTCTAGAAACAAAACTGAAAGCCAGCAATTGATTTTTACTCTAAATCCAACAAAGGTTAAAAAAAAAATTAAGACTGATAAGGATACCGATATTTGATCATTTTAAAATTACGATATTCGGAAATATCAGCTGGGATTGTTTTCATTTCAGACAAACAGATTTCCACAACACTTACATGTAGTTATTATTTACTCATTTAGGCCTTGATTATTCTCCATTGCAGACATGAACACAGACAGCTGGAAACCCGACAGCCAACTAGCCATTATTTATTATACTTCTCTGAAGTCCACTTAAAGTCCATGACCTTGGGTGCATGCATAGTTGATGCGCTGTAATATAAACAAAAAACAGGCAGGTACACAGACAACCACACTGACTCTCGTATTCACAGTCTGATGAGGAAATTTACGTCACGCTGACCCTAGTGGCTCATGGACATGGAAAGTGTAATCCCACCTTTACTCTTTGCCCCACTGCTCGGATCACTTTGTTGTCGTTGTTTGCAGACTTCAAAACAGGTGTTTCCAACAGGAAGTTGCCTCTGGTGGACAAACTATGAAACATCAACACTCAGAACCAGGTTGAAGGGTGTTTCTCGTGTCTGTCCTTTAATTTTTACAGTGTGTGTGTGTGTGATCATTCTCTCTGTTCTTCCTATCTTGCATTTCCATATTCATTATGTTATGGAGTCCAATATATTCACTATCCCCCCTTTGCACCTGTCCAGAGTGTCTCAGCTTTACCTCTAACTTTTTTCCAAAATGTTCAATCTCAGCTGACCCACTGATGTACTCCTTTCTGATATTGCTCATCCATAAATACACAAAAGAGGTAGAGGGGAAAATCCATGCAATATAAACTAATACACAGTTTTTATTTCACTCCCTCTAAACTTCATAGTATGAGTGTAACATCCAACGACCTATGTTGGACATGCAATCTAGACATGCAAACATTAGCACATGCTACTTGGAAATATAAGCAGGTATAGAGCTCAGAAGCTCAGATATGGATAAATTTGATAATACCCTTATTACCAAAATTATGTGTATTGGTAGGCTGATCAGTCCCACCCACAGCATCGAAATACAATTTAGCGGTGATAAAAGTAAGGGCAATCACAGTTGCAAGAAGAATTCTTAGTGCATGAAAAGACACATCCTCCCCAAACTTCAAATATTGGACCAAAGTTATATTAGAAATTGTATCACCTGGAAGAAAATTGTAAAGAGTCGATGATGATGATAATGACAACTCAGGCAGATCTTTGTAATAAAATGTTATTAACAATGTTGATGTTGCAGTTTGAAGATATAATTGCAGGTGTGAGTGTCAGTTCCTGCTTGAAATTTTTATAATGATGCTCTCTATTCAAGTTTAATACAGGAAATGCAAATTTCAATAACAGAAAGTAAAATACGAAAAAAAAAACCCCCAATAATTATATGGTACTCTGTCCCTCCTTATATATAACATATGTGTTTAATCTAATATATAAAAGAAGCTAATATATATGTTATTTTTATGTTGCTGTATACAAGTATTGATTAAAACAGTGATATTATTATTGTTGTTGTTGTTGTTATTGTTATTGTTATTGTTATTATTATTATTGAGAAGAGTGGTGTTGTACTGTAGTACATTGTTGTGCGGTCCCCACCCCCTCACTTCCCTCCTGTTAATCCTTCATAGCGGCGCACAGTAAAGAAGCAGCGGCGGAAGCTAACAAAGCACTACTTGGGCTTCATTTGAGTAGATTTTTAACTAATAACTTGGTGAGTTGGAAATATTTTCAAGAATCCTGTAGCTGTTATATTTTCTAACACTTATTGTGGGTAATTATACTATTGTTCTGACTATAAATCTGTGTCTTCAATATTTCGCCTAGCCTAGCTAGTGAGCTAACGGACCGATAAAGTCATATAGACTTCCGTTATGCTAAGCTAAGTCTAGCTATCTAGCCTAGCAGGCTAAACCGGTACCGGTTTGTTACTGAAAGGAGAAGCAATGATTCCGGCTCAGCAGCTTGAAATAAACAACAAACACGACCTGAGTACATTATATCACACGTGTTGTACGCATTTACTGTAGCACCCCCGAGTTATGTTGTAAACATTCAAATTGAGCTTACAGGACACACACATCCGGCTAAGCTAACGCTCGATGATTAGCTAGCTTCAGTAAACACAACATCCTCCTAGACTAAATCTGGGTCAAACACCACTGCGGGGGTCCAAGTTATATTTCGCTGACATACATTTGCATGTTAATACGGCCAGTGTTGTAGTGATGGAATAAATGTTTGACGGGATATGTATGTGTATTTTTTTGTTCGAGCTTGATGCCGGAGAGGGTCAGAAACACCGGAGCGGAAACGTAACATCACAGTAGAGGGCTTCACTGTATGACTCTTAATTTGTAAGCCAACTATGTCGCGATGGGCCCTTGACAGTATGTACAGTATGGCTGATCAGGGGACCATGAAAAGCCGTGATGGTGGTGATATTGTCGCAGAAAGCTGCACAGTTAGCCCCGGTGTTATTTTGTTTGGACTTTGCCAGCACAGCTGAAGGTTGCTGGCAGTTCATCGTTTATCACAGGCATAGTGTTAGAAAGTTGGACAATGCTTCAGTGTAATAAAATAAAATTACCCACTCTGATATAGATGACGTTCACGTGTTTTAATCAATCTTCTATATTTTTTCCTGAAGCTATGGCAGCAATCAGGAAAAAGCTGGTCATAGTGGGAGATGGAGCCTGTGGGAAGACCTGTTTGCTCATCGTGTTCAGTAAGGACCAGTTTCCAGAAGTCTACGTGCCCACAGTGTTTGAGAACTATGTTGCTGACATTGAAGTCGACAGCAAACAGGTAAGCAGTATTTATTTCTTCCCAGAATCGGTGTTTTGTAACTGGAGGACTCTAGTGGCTGCACTCATGTAATGCTAAACCTATAGACCAGGGTGGGCAGTTAATTTTCACAGGAGACCTACATGTTAGATCTAGTCTAACCTGCATGAGTTTGAATTATTGAGCAGATTGAGTTCTGCTTATTGGCAAAATTAATTGTCTGACCTGCCCACCTGCTACCGACTGTGCACTGCTCGAAGATATTTCAGCTTCTAAACACTTTTGGCAGGTCGAGTTAGCACTCTGGGATACAGCAGGTCAAGAGGACTATGACAGACTGCGCCCGCTCTCCTATCCAGACACTGATGTCATTCTCATGTGTTTCTCCATTGACAGCCCTGACAGTCTTGGTAAGTAAAAACAGAGGAGACTCAGCAATGTTGCAGCTCATTTTTAATTTTAAATTATTATGACTAAACCACCAAAGGCTTTGTGGGAGGGGGAAAAAAGACTATTAAAAAAGGGAGGGGATAGCTCAGTAGTTAGAGTGTTCGCCCCATGATCAGAAAGTCGGGGGTTGAAATCCACCGAACGGCTACCTGAGTAAGGTACCATCCCTGCACACTGCTGCCTGGGCGCTGGATTGATAGCTGCCCACTGCTTTACTGAGTGAATGGGTGCAGAGAAGGCTCTCCTTGAGTTAAAACCTCTGGAGATTGTTTTGAAATCTGAAACTCTTATGTGGGCCAGTTCTTTGTGTTTTCATTGGTGGTTAAAGGTGATTTTTGAACACCTTCTAGTTACTTCCACCACCTAGTTACCCCTACTCTATTTAAGGTCTTTGCCTTGTGTAGCACATAAAAGACAAATTCAGGATTCAAATATTGGCCTGAAAATTCAGAGTAAAATGTTTTTTACTTTCCATTTGTTTGTTTTACCTGATCAGCTTCTCTGTTAAACCTAAATGTTTAAATACAAGGGTTTCCATTAAAAGACTGTATTAGAAAAAATAAGATGGTAATACAGAAGAGGCAGGAGTTACGCGCTATATTATTACTATATATATTTAACAGTAGCGCCTGCGTTTTGAACCAGTACCTGGGTAAGAAGGAGTATTGACAATAATGTCACAGCAATCTTGCCAGGAATAAGACGAAGTGTACTAGAGGATACTGGCTTTTAGCTGCTCCCTCATTCACATGGTGTCACCACAGTAGGTTGCCCCCCATGTTTGATTTGGCAGATTCACCGGATGCCCTTCCTGATGAATGTGTAAACCATAACACTATGGAGCCACTTTTTTTTTTTTTTAATATATGTGTATATTTATTGTAAATAATGGCTTGAGCACTTGCAATACCATTGGTAATGAGAAAAAAAGAGTTCACTGTAAACAGACCCGATGGAAATTCTTGAGATTTGGTCATAGCTTGAATAATCTAATATTAAGAATCAGAAACATAGAAAACAGCTGTTGGACACGGAGTCATGTTATGACTGTCTCCCACCATGAGTCTCAGTTTGCTCTCCTCTGTACATCACAGTGGACGCACATTTATCATGTGATCTGTACCATTACAGCACACCTTGTTCTCAAGTTTCTCCATCTAAAGTATCTGCTCTTCTTGATTCAAGTCCACACCACCTTATCTCGCATACAGCCCAGAGCTGCAACTTTTACAAGTTAAAAGAAAAGTCACTAGCAGTGATTTTAAGTTAAGACAAATAATCGTTTAATTTCTGCTTGCTGCCAAATGTCAGCATTTTATTTATTTTTGCATTGTTTGCACAACAAAACATGTTAAATGACATCCTCTTAGCCTATAGGAGTCTGTGATCATTAGTGTTTTCCTGCTGGGTTACAGAGCAACAGTACGGTAATCCATTAGGAAAATAATCAACAGCCGTGTGTCTCTGCTTTGAATGCTGCTATATTTGTCTCCTTATTCAGAGAACATCCCTGAGAAGTGGACCCCTGAAGTGAAACACTTCTGCCCTAATGTTCCCATTATACTAGTGGGAAACAAAAAGGATCTGCGTAATGATGAGCACACTCGGAGGGAACTTGCCAAAATGAAGCAGGTAAAACTTAACGCCCTGAGCAAGAAAACAAACAAACTTTGTCAGTGAAAGATTTTTTCCTAACATTGCTTCTTGACCTTTATATTTATTTTAGGAACCCGTTAAACCTGAGGATGGGCGGGACATGGCTAACAGGATTGGTGCCTTTGGATACATGGAGTGCTCTGCAAAAACAAAGGATGGTGTGAGGGAAGTATTCGAGATGGCTACCAGGGCTGCACTACAGGCCAGGCGGGGAAAGAAGAGTAATAAATGCGTCCTACTGTAAAAGGAGGCATGAGGACTGCTTCCTGGAGGGGGAAAGAAGGAGAATTAGGTCAAACCTACCCCCAACACACCCACCCAAAAGACTGTTCTCCCCAGTTTTTACTAAAGATGTAATGCTTTTACTTTTCTTTTATTTCTTTATTTCTTTTTGGTCTTAAGCAAAACTAGTCAGGTTCTGTCAGTATTCAACTTTGAAGTTATGGAAAATACTTTTTTTGTACTTAAACATAAGTAAATTTGCCATAATAATCAAACCTCCTTTATCCACACGTTCTATGTAATCAAAAAGGTCAGCGGGGGAACCGTAGTGTCAGCCTGCCAACTGCAGTTAAGTGCTAAAGCCCTGCGAGCTGATCAGAGGAATGTTTCCACAGCCAACTAGGGTTGAAGTACCTGCTCACTGTGACCCGTAGTCCTTTAATTATTGACAAACTCGTGCACACAAAGTCAAAATTTGTTTGTGTTCTTCATAAACAAATCTGCATTATGATCACATGCACAATGCGAGACTGGAAAATCTTTTTGCTAAAATGCAAATGGAAACTTAGTGTTTTGTGTAATAAATTACTTTGTAAGAATCTGGATAACTTGCATCACTTGATTGAACACTGAATTAAACTGAACTAATGAATTAAAGCCCTGCCTAGGAACAGAATTCAACTTTATTCAGTGGTGAGGAAAATCAAAGGCTAGCCTATGCTTTAGGCTCCTCAGTTTATGGTGAACATTTTGGATTGATGCGGGCCACTCTTTGGCCGTTCCCCTGTGAGCTGAGCCTGAGTGCACACAAGCATGTCAATGAATCCCATTAATAGTTGTTAAAAAAACTGACAGCTGAGATGTTTACTGATCAGGACAGTGAATGTGAAAAATAAACCTGCCCAGACTTTCTGGGGGTCAAACTGCCTCTACCTTCACTTTTTGTTCTAAGAACATCAGTAATCATCTATAGTTGAAGGTGATCTTTTTCCTGAATGAAAACATGAGCCAAAAGTAGTTTCAAACTTTTACTCAACATTTAAAGCAAACACAATTAAGAACCCCACTTCTTTGGTGTCTTTTCAGTTTTACATGTAAGAACTGAATTTTTGATTACAAATAATTATTATTAAACCTACTGAGCTTTATAAACAGTGAAAACAGAGGTATGTAACAAATATACAGTTAAACAATTCATTGGATGCACATAGCTAAAACTACTGCAGTTTCACTTATCAGTGTATTAAATCCAACCTTAATAATGCAAAGTTCTGAAGAGTGTTGAGCACTGAGTTTTGTCCAGGACTGTTGGATTCAACTGCATTTATTTTTAACTGGGTGAAAAACATTCAAGCTAAAAAAAAACCCCAAACATATAATGGAAGGAACAACTTTGGTGAAGTAAAAATCTATATATTGCCAGTGAAACTGATGCATGCTGGATTAAATTTATTTAACCAAAAAACAAACCCATACACTCAATGTTTGTTTAAATCAACAACAACCCTTTGTGCAGGCTGTAACAAACTGGGGGAAAAAAACTGGCAACACAAAACATCTGCAGCTCACCATCAGAAAATCTATAATCATCAGTTCAATAGTCATGCGTTCTTCTTGGCGGGAAGTCCTGAGCGGGCGAGAAATATCGGAAGAACAGCCAGCGCTCCTAGAGCTACTGCCACCAACGGTCGGTAATAAAGCCAGCCAAACCCAATAACGATAAGAGACAGCGAGCAGGAGACGCACAAGGCGAAGATCTTCAGTCCAATGGACACGAGCTCTCTAAGGACAGGAACCCAGTCCACTGCAGGAACACAACAGACAGGAAGTATGAATAATAGAAGCAAGGAAGGAAACTCACAACTGTACAGCAGCAGGGTTAATTTACCCAGCGTGTAGATGATTTGCATGCTCAGCTGGATACCAAGGAACATGAGGGCCCAGCCTGCAGCCCGGAGTCCCCAAGTCTTCATGCTGTTAAACTGGTGCTCCCTCGCAAACACCTCCTACAGATAACACAGAAATACGCTTTACCCAGATAGACACACAGAAAGAGAATTTAAACCAACAAATGGAAATGAAGCCCACGCTGACCTCCGCAGAGAGCTCCTCCAGATAAAGGATCTCCAGAGTGTCTCCTGATCTGGTTTTAAATGGCAGCAGCTGCTCCCCTCTCTGCATGGCAACAATACTGACCTGAAAAACCGCATGTGAAGCAGAGTTAGAGACTTAGTTTTAATCTAATATAAATACATAAATGAGCAACTCTTTTGACAATATTTGTTCCTGCTCATATTTCATGGTAAACTGAACATTTGTTTGTTTGGGGCTTTTGGTTGGAATATAATAAACGGCACATTTGGCTGAAGAACATACATCTTTTTCCTCAACAAAACAACTTTTTTTTAATAATCCCATAAATGTAAGCAGCATGCCAAAGGAGACCAGAACTGTCCTCATGTTGATCTACTAAACTTTCAAAAAAAAACAGCTGTGAAAAAGTTTTACCATGATTATTTGGTGCCGTGTAAATTTACTCATTTAACAGTATAGTACATTCTATATGTTTACAGTATACAATTTTTTATTTCATGTGCAGTTTTATAGTAGTACACAGGTACATTATAGATAAAAACAATCAAGAAAATATCCCACGTCATTCTGTTATGGATAAAACTTAAAAACAATATTAAGTTTCCATACCTCCACCAAAATATTCTAATAACTACTCATAAACAGTAAATGTTTGAAATACTTGATCATATATTTGACTATCCAAATTCTATTTGTATTAATAATCATTTAAAACACTACTTAAATTGATTTTTATGAAAGTTAATGATAAAATATTTTATTATTGAATGTTATAAATAGCAACATAAGAACATCATGTAGGTTGTGACCAAAGACAGTACATAAAAGATGGACATAGCTGTAGTGAAGTCAACCTCAGGAATAAGGGTTAGAGTTTACTGAGAATATTGCATGCTCATGACTATTATGTTCTACTGAAGATTTGATGCTAGCAACTGAGACCATAAACTTATTAGGAAAATGTTTACTGGGTAACAGTGAAATGAAAAGTAGGGTCACTTTTCTATAAACTTCTACACAATCAGACTTTGTTTTTAACCAGGAGTCTCCCCCTGGTGGCCATCAGAAAGAATGCAGGTTTAAGGCACTGAATTCACTTTTCAGATCCTGAAGGTACATCAGTCTCCTATAAACAGACTACAGTCAAGACCCAGTGCAAATGTAGGCAGAGAATGTGTTAATCAGACATTTGTAGCTTGTACCGTCTGAGCAGGGCCGTGGCGTGAGTTGTCACTGCTCAGTCCAGCGAAGGAGAACCTCACCCGCACGTCACCCACCTCATGAATTCAAACAAATTCAAAGTCAACAAGTGTGGAACGCATAACATATAACAGAGTGCAACACTGAGATTATTTGTGAGGCACTCACGACTAGATGCTCACCTCTGGCCTGCGTGGATTTGGAGTGTGATAGAAGTAGTCATCATGAATAGAGAGAAAAGGGTCCAAGTTAAAGACAGGAAAATCCCCCAAACTCAGTGTCTGGAAGTTATTTATCTGCTCCACCAGGCCTGATGATAACCAGGAAATTAACTGAGTACTAAAATCCAAACACATGAAACACAGCATATGTGTAGTGGCTGTGTGTTTGCTTAGACAAACCTTTAGACAGAATGAATGGCCCAGTTCGGACTTCAGGAGACACCACCATCACACTCTCAACAGCCATGGCACTGAAACACAAAGACTGAAGTGAGCATGGACTGGATGCACACACAAACACAAGAAGACCATATTAAATATGTTTAGTACCTCGGGTTCTGGTGACCAATCTCCTTATCAAAATTACGACTGTTCACCAACTCTGGCTTCCACTCAGTGTCTACAAAAAAGGAGTTATAAAATATAACCTCTATGCACAGGCTGTGCTGTTACCAAAGATTACAGACTGCAAAAAAGAAACTCACTGTAGGTGTATGTAGTTTCTGTTTTGGTTTCACCGTTCTCCTGGTAATCCCTGAATTAAAACGTACAGTCAGCTGCATTCTAGCCAACATGTCCACACCCAGTCCCACCCTGAGTGCTGACAAGCCTTACCTGCTCTCATGGTACTCCACCCACTGATACATCTCCACCTGCCGCTTCAGCTTCACTGCATGCACCACCACTTTGTAGTTGGGGTCATACAGGGGCTGCACAGACACATCAAAATTTAACAGCAACAAACCAGATGAAAACACTTACCTGAAGACAACAACACTTCCACCTCTACTAATAATTATGATCAGCTGATTGGTGCATGCAAAATTCTTAATGCTGGATTATACGACAATGTCAAAGTCTGACAATGTAATGAGTACAATAATGCATTACTATAAACACAAACAAAAGAATTCAAGTGAAACTATATGAAGCTTCAGTATACAGATTAAACAATAAAACATTAGCAGAATCAAAACAAGGAAGCCAACTGGTGGCACATTTAAGTCCACAAAAAATAAATTAAAAATAGAATCAAATACTAGCAAAAATATTTACATGTTGTACAACTCCTGCGGTTGTGTATTAATTTAACATAGATAAATACAACACTCTTTCTCACTGTCTGAGTCTCTCTCAACATTACCTTCTTTTGTCCTCCTCTGCAAAGATATGAGGGTAAACACAGCCAGATAACAGGCACCACCGCCTGTTTATCTAAACAAACTAAGGCAGCCCTGAACTTTTTAGACATCACCCAACAGAGATGCACGTGAGAAGGCAAACAGCCAGAGCAGAAACTCTTTAACCTGCCAGCCCCATGGAACAAAGTCTGCGTGATGTCCAATTGCATCCATGCGAGAAAAACATACATAATCGGTCACAGAGTTCAGAGCAAGCAAGCGGTCGTCCGCCCGAGCTGATTCCTCACCTAAACTGAAAGGAGTATGTTCCGACCCGATTCCCCCAACATTGCTCAGTTCTCTGCAATGGATCAATGGATGGATGTTCTTTTACCAAATGTACATACAAAGGTTATTAGGTTTCTATCACATATTTAAACAAATATGTAAATTGAGCTGTAGGGAACAAATAGTTATAATAATAATAATAATAAACTTTATTTATAAAGCACACTTAAAAACCAAGGGTATGCCAAGGTGCTTAACAAGTAAAATAGAGTATAGGAGGAGGATAATAGAAATAGGACCAAAGCAAGTACTAAATATGCAAACAGATAACTGTCACTAATACATAGGAAAGCAACAGGTACAGAGCAAACAAGAATTTAAATGAGCATAGAAGTGCATGATATAAAATCATAAAAGAAATATTAACTAGAGGGAAAGGCAAGATTGAATAAGTGGGTTTTTAATCGTGATTTGAACAGTGCAATGGAGTCAGATGCGCGGAGGTCGAGAGGAAGGGTATTCCACAGTACCGGGGCAGCCAGAGCAAACGCACGGTCACCCCGGGACTTCAGTCGAGATCTGGGTTGGGTCAGAAGTAGTTGAGTGGCAGATCTGAGTGTTCTAGCAGGAGTATGTGGTTTGAGAAGTTCACTAAGATAACTTGGCGCTAATTTATTAATAGTTTTGAAAGTAAGGAGTAATATTTTAAATTGAATACGGTACTTTATGGGCAGCCAATGCAGGCTAGCTAGGACAGGGGTAATATGGCAAAATTTCCTGGTACCAGTCAAAAGGCGGGCTGCTGCATTTTGGACTGTTTGCAGTTTAAGAAGAAGAGAAGAGGGAAGACCATAGTACAAGGAGTTACAATAATCCAACCTGGAGGTCACAAAAGCGTGAATAAGCTTCTCCAGGTCCTCATGCGGAATATAATGCCTAGCCTTAGAGATAAGGCGCAGTTGGTGGAAGCTAGATCTCACTACAGCAGACACTTGCTTATCGAGTTTGAGCGAGCTATCCAGCAGTACACCCAAGTTACTGACATAGTCACAAGAAAAACTAGCAAAGGAACCCAGGGCAGCACAGAGTTGGGCACGAGGGATTTTACTGTTGAACACCACAATCTCAGTCTTCTTATCATTTAAAACGAGGGAATTACTCAGGAACCATTCTTTGACCTCCCGCATGCATTCTTGAAAGTAGTGCAGGGACACAGCAAGGTCGTCAGTAAGTTCAAAATAGATCTGTATGTCATCGGCATAACAGTGGAAGGCGATATTGTATTTTTCAAAGATTGTGCCTAGAGGGAGCAAATACAATGAGAAGAGAATAGGACCTAAAACTGATCCTTGAGGCACACCACAACAGACCGGAGCGGAGGAAGAGGAGAAGGTGCCTAAGTGAACTGATAAGGATCTATCAGCGAGGTATGATTTAAACCAGTCGAGGGCAGTGCCTCTAATACCCACAGTGTGCTCAAGTCTTAGTAATAAAATGTTATGGTCTACCATATCAAAGGCCGAAGAGAGGTCCAGTAAAACTAGGACCATAGAGCGTCCAGTATCAGTGATTACAAGAATATCATTAAGAACTCTAACCAACGCTGTTTCAGTGCTATGCAATGGCTTAAAGGCAGATTGAAATTTCTCAGCAATATTGTTCGTGTCCAAGTACGCCTGGAGTTGGGAGAGAACTAGTCTCTCCAGGATCTTGGACAAGAACGAAAGCTTAGAGATCGGTCTATAGTTTGAAAGGTCATAACAGTCAGAATTTCTTTTTTTAAGAATCGGGTGGACTACAGCATGCTTAAAGGACAAAGGAACACAGCCTGAGAGCAAGGAAAAGTTCATAAGAAATAGGATACTAGGTCCGATTACATCAAAACAGTCCTTAGCTAAACGAGATGGAAGAATGTCAAGCACAGTATTGGTGTTATTCATTTGAGCAACTAGCCGCTTAAGAGTCAAAAGTGACACAGGCTCAAACTGGTGGAAAGTTGAAATGCACTGAAATGACAATGAAAACTAGACTTGGAAAAAAACTAAAGCCAACTAAAATAAAAATAAAACATCTTCCAGAGTTGTCCTTTATTTTTAGTGTACTTGTCAGTTTGGTAAAATTCTGTTATCACAGAGTGCCTGATGGGGCATGAATACACATGTTGAGCTACACTCTGGATGACTCCGTGAGTCAACAAAGAGTTGTGTTTGTGTAATTCCTACACTGATTTTAATTCATTACATGAAAAGATTAAAAAACACTTCTTATCAAATGCAGTGTGCTACACACACTGCATTTGCTTGAGTGTGTAGCTCAAGCAAATGCAGAATGATGGAAGTTCTTAAAATATCTGGATGTTCGATATCTGAGCACAGTTTCGGAGGCCTGCAGAAACCATAATTTTAGGGGTAGGGGACGCTAAAACTATACAGAAGGCACAAGTTTTGAAGTGCATCTCCACCTGAAATTTTGTCATGCAAATCTGTGACAGTCAGGTTAAAGGCTCCAGACAAATATCCTCCATATCTTAATAATTAACTCCTCCTTGAATCGCTACCTTATCGTGGTGGAGGGGTTTGTGTGTCCCAGGGATCCCAGGGGCTATGTTGTCTGGGGGCTTTTGCCCCCTGGTAGGGTCTCCCATGGCAAACTGGTCCTGGGTGAGGGACCAGACAAAGAGCGATTCAGAAGACCCCCATGAAAAGAATATCGAGGGAACAGTTTACCCTGCCCGGGATAGGGTTACCGGGGCCCTGCCCTGGAGCCAGGCCCGGGGAGGGTGCCCGAGAGCGAGCATCTGGTGGCCGGGCCTTAGTCCATGGGGCCCGGCCGGGCACAGCCCGAAGAGGAGACATGGGCCCATCCTCCCGCAGGCCCACCACCCGCAGGAGGCGCCATAGGGGTCGGGTGCATTGGTCGACCGACCCCCGGCTGCCAAGACTGGCAATGGGGACATGGAATGTCACCTCTCTGGTGGGGAAGGAGCCTGAGTTGGTGCGTGAGGTTGAGAGGTACCGGCTAGATATAGTTGGGCTCACCTCTACGCATTGTCTGGGCTCTGGAACCAGTCTCCTGGAGAGGGGCTGGACTCTGTCTCAGTCTGGAGTTGCCCCTGGTGAGAGGCGGCGGGCTGGGGTGGGTATTCTTATATCCCCTCGGCTTGCTGCCGGTACGTTGGGGTTTTTCCCGGTGGACGAGAGGGTTTGTTCCCTGCGCCTTAGGGTCGGGGAACGGGTCCTGACTGTCATCTGCGCTTATGCGCCGAGTGGCAGTTCGGAGTACCCAGCCTTCTTAGAGTCCCTGGGGGGGGTGCTGGAAGGTGCTCCACCTGGAGACTCTGTTGTCCTGCTGGGAGACTTCAATGCTCACGTGGGTAACGACAGCGAGACCTGGAGGGGCGTGATTGGGAGGAACGGCCTCCCTGATCTGAACCCGAGCGGTGCTCTGTTATTGGACTTCTGTGCTAATCACAGTTTGGCCATAACGAACACCCTGTTCGAACATAAGAGTGTCCATAAGTGCACGTGGCACCAGGACGCTCTAGGCCGTAGGTCGATGATCGATTTTGTAATCGTATCACCAGACCTGCGACCATATGTTCTGGACACTCGGGTAAAGAGAGGGGCTGAGCTGTCAACTGATCACCACCTGGTGGTGAGTTGGATCAGGTGGCGGGGGAGGACGCTGGACAGACCTGGTGCACCTAAACGCGTAGTGAGGGTGTGCTGGGAACGTCTAGCAGAGGCCCCAGTCCGCGAGATCTTCAACGCACACCTCCGGCAGAGCTTCAACAGCATTCCGAGGGAGACTGGGGACATTGAGTCCGAATGGACCATATTCAGCGTCTCCATTGCCGAAGCTGCTGCATTGAGCTGCAGCCGCAAGGTGGTTGGTGCCTGCCGTGGTGGTAATCCCCGAACCAAATGGTGGACACCAGAGGTGAAGGGAGCCACCAGGCTGAAGAAGGAGGCCTATCGGGCTTGGTTAGCCTGTGGGACTCCGGAGGCAGCCGACAGGTATCGACAGGCCAAGCGGAATGCGGCTCGGGCAGTGGCTGAAGCAAAAACTCGGGTGTGGGAGGAGTTCGGAGAGGCCATGGAAAAAGACTTTCGGACTGCCTCGAAGAGATTCTGGCAAACCGTCAGGCGTCTCGGGAGGGGAAAGCGGTGCTCTACCTGCACTGTGTATAGTGCTGGCGGAGCGCTGTTGACGTCGACTGAGAAAATTGTCGGGCGGTGGAAGGAATACTTCGAGGACCTCCTTAATCCCACTGACACGTCTTCCGGGGAGGAAGCAGAGTCTGGGGATGAGGGGTGTGACCCACCGATTTCCGGGGGCGAGGTCACTGAGGCAGTTAAACAACTCCTTGGTGGCAGAGCCCCTGGTGTCGATGAGGTCCGCCCCGAGTTCCTGAAGGCTCTGGACGTTGTAGGGCTGTCTTGGTTGACACGTCTCTGCAATGTTGCGTGGAGATCAGGGGCAGTACCTGTGGACTGGCAGACCGGGGTGGTGGTCCCCATCTTCAAGAAGGGGGACCGGAGGGTGTGTTCCAACTACAGGGGGATCACACTCCTCAGCCTCCCCGGGAAAGTCTATGCCAGGGTGCTGGAGAGGAGGGTTCGTCCGCTAGTCGAACCTCGGATACAGGAGGAACAATGCGGTTTTCGTCCTGGTCGCGGAACACTGGACCAGCTCTTTGTCCTCTCGAGGATACTTGAGGGTGCATGGGAGTTTGCCCAACCAGTCTACATGTGTTTTGTGGACCTGGAGAAGGCATTCGACCGTGTCCCTCGGGGCGTCCTGTGGGAGGTGTTGCGCGAGTATGGGGTGTCTGGCCCATTGCTACGGGCCATTCAATCCCTATACAACCGTTGCAAGAGCTTGGTTCGCATTGCCGGCAATAAGTCGGACTCGTTCCCGGTGGGTGATGGGCTCCGCCAAGGCTGCCCTTTGTCTCCGGTTCTGTTCATAATTTTTATGGACAGGATTTCTAGGCGCAGCCAAGTGGCGGAGGGCTTTCGCTTTGGTGGCCTCAGAATCTCATCTCTGATTTTTGCGGATGATGTGGTTCTGTTGGCTTCATCGGGTGAGGGCCTCCAGCTCGCACTGGAGCGGTTCGCAGCCGAGTGTAACGCAGCGGGAATGAGGATCAGCACCTCCAAATCTGAGGCCATGGTTCTCAGCCGGAAAAGGGTGGAGTGCCCACTCCGGGTCGGGGATGAGTTCCTGCCCCAAGTGGAGGAGTTCAAGTATCTCGGGGTCTTGTTCGCGAGTGATGGGAGAAGGGAGCTGGAGATCGACAGACGGATTGGGGCTGCGGCTGCAGTAATGCGGACGCTGCACCGGTCAGTCGTGGTGAAGAGGGAGCTGAGTGTAAAAGCGAAGCTCTCAATTTACCGGTCGATCTACGTCCCTACCCTCACCTATGGCCACGAGCTGTGGGTAGTGACCGAAAGAACGAGATCGCGGATACAAGCGGCGGAAATGAGCTTCCTCCGAAGGGTGGCTGGCCTCTCCCTTAGAGATAGGGTGAGAAGTTCGGCCATCCGGGAGGGGCTTAGAGTAGAGCAGCTGCTGCTCCACATCGAAAGGAGCCAGCTGAGGTGGTTCGGGCATCTGGCAAGGATGCCCCCTGGGCGCCTCCTGGGCGAGGTGTTCCAGGCATGTCCCACCGGGAGGAGGCCCCGGGGCAGACCCAGGACACGCTGGAGAGATTATATCTCTCGGCTGGCCTGGGAACGCCTTGGTATTCCCCCGGACAAGCTGGAGGAGGTGGCTGGGGAGAGGGAGGTCTGGACCTCTTTGCTTAGGCTGCTACCCCCGCGACCCGACCTCGGATAAGCGGATGAAGATGGATGGATGGATCTTAATAATTAAAAGACTGAAACTAATACAGAACCTTTGAACTGCTCTGTAAACTAACAGAAACTGAACTCAATAAAAATTTTTTTAAAAAAAGCTAAAACATAATAAAAAATATACAAATCAGGGACACCGACACATACACGCTAGGGCAGACCACTGTTCAAAATACAGGCGAGCTCACCTCTGCAGTATGCAGCTTCGCAGACAGGTGAACTAAACGGCCGTTGTTTTGTGTGTCGAAGCTGATATACGGCCCCAGTGATACAACCTGGGAGAGACCTTCATCCAGGGACTTTGCTGTTTGCAGAGTCCGTCCCTGCACGAAGAAACCATCACAGATACAAAGTGCTGTCTTTAGTCTACTGTTAAATCATCGTGACCATGATGATCTGAGCTACTTAGAAGGAAATGTTTCCTACCTCATTGGTGAAGAGAACATAAATCGAGAGGAAAAACAGTCCCACACCAACAACTGCTCCTCCTGTAGTTTCACTTAAACGCTCCAGAAATCCAGGGTTGGACTTTGCAGACACTCGCTTGTGTTGGTCTGGAAACTGGACAAACATAAGAAAAACCTGAATAAACACGACATCAACAATTGGGCGACAGAACCAAGTTTTGGCTTCTCATTAGTTATTTTCTATATTCAATCTTTTAGTAATGACATGACCGTAACAAGACATAACCAGTAACTTAACAATAAACTGTCTTTTTAGTTTATATATATAATTATACACCAGGTGTTTATCTGAAAACATATGATGGTTTAAATACATGAATCTTAGAAAGCGAAGACACACATTCCTCTGATTTATTACCACTAATCCGGTACCAGCCAACTGCAGTTCTGGTGAGAAGTTTATATCCACTCATCACGGACATGAATGTAATTTTGAGCTTTTTGCTACGTATTTGAACTGTTCTGCTTTCAGGATGTAATCATTGTACAACATACATCTTTACTGACTTTAAAAAACAAGGATTGGGTGAACAAAGTTGGAATTTATTTGGGATTTTCTCTAATCCACACAAGGTCAAATATATACATAAACCCCCACCAATATTTGGTTAAATGTCTCTTGGTGTGTTGCACCTCAACCAGACACTTTTGATTACTCAATAAGTTTGTGTTATAATTCTGGCTGGGTATTTGACCATGCGTTTTGACAAAATTGGTAGAATTCATTTGAAACAGTCGGTTTCCTGGCATGGACATGGTTTTAAGCATAGTCCACAAATTTTCAATAGGGTTGAAGTTGGGGCTTTGGGGAGGCTATTCGATAAGATTAATGTTAGCCTGCTTTATCCATTCCAAACAGTCTTTGGTGTCTGCTTAAGATCATGCAACTGTGTCCAAGTTTAAACCATCTAACTGTTGATTTTGAGGTAAAGGTAGCCCTCCTCCTTTACTATTCCATCTACTTTGAACCAGTACTGCTTGCAGCAAAATTTTTTGTTTAGAAATGAGTTCAAGAGGCCTTCTTAACTTGTGTAAATCTGCAGTTCTTCTTAGATCATTATCAAGCTCCCCTTTCTTCTGGTCAATCATTGGATCGCTGTCCATTTTTATGCTGAGAAACTAGCATTTGTAGTTGATCTTGATAACCAGTGTAAAGTTAATAGGCCTTGGTTTATCAATTTAACAGACGCTGAAGATTCTTCAGTATCAAAATACAGTGAATGTATATTTATACTTGAGCCCGTAGAAAATCTAAATTATTTTCAAGCTTGTGCACCTAGTTCTTGGTTTTAAAGTCACCACCCTGGAAAAAAAAAGAACAGTTCAAAGAAATCATTAAAAGCCCAAAATTATGACGTTCATGCCCGCGATGAGTGGATGTAAACTTCTGGCAGTAATTGTATGTGTCCCTACATGCAGCCTGTGGTCCCATGTCTCATCATGACTTAGGCGTGAAAGTGACACGCCCCTTTCACACTTCCTAATTTAATTTTCATGTCTGGGCGAAAAAATTAAGACTAAACGACGACTCACCGCTGTTGCCATTGTACGTACCAAATTAGAGCATTAGAAATGATTCGTCAGATTAAACTGACTGAAAAAAGGCGGCAGTTGAGGGTCTAACGCTGCAGCAAAGTTGTGTTAACTGCACACATAAATCCGGAAGGAGTTTACATTTATAAAGTAGAACCAAAGACCATTATTCGAGCCACCTACTGTCTGTGCTGAAGACATTTCTCTACTTTCTCGACCGCCAACTTTCAAGGAACACGAAGATGCTAGCAACCACAAACTGACACGCCAACGGCCAGTAAGCTTTCACTTTACTCTGGAGTATCCCGAAACTCGCCCAGAGAGGCGGACTATGTGAGATAATAAACTGTGGTTCCCGCCCAACTCGTCGGTTGCCCAAGTGATATTAAGCAATTGCTTTAAGGAAAAAAAAAACAGTTCCGGCACCGACCCGGAAATCTTTTTTCTCGAGGCTTCATGGGAAATGAAGTTTTTTTGGTGACTGTTGTCAATAGAGACGTGAGAAAGAAAAAAAAATACTAGAAATGTATTAGATATTTATTGATATTTAATTTGTTTTAACAGTTCAGAGGAAATAGTATACTGTAAACATATATAGAATGTACTATACTGTTACTGGAAAGAAAAACAAGCAGGCTCACTGAAACCCACATACAACATAAAGGAAAATATTGAAAAATATTTATTATATTTTAGTTTTATACAGAACATGAAACTTTATGGACGGATGTTGTTCATATTATGACACCTAGTGGTGATAAACAGAAGTACCTCAAGAATATGCACATTTGTACTTTTTCTCCACCACCTGGCATTTAGTTTCTTTTCAATTTATAATAATTTTTAACAAAATAAACAAACAAAAAACAGAAAAACAGACACATTAATTTGAAAATGTGACTTAGTATCATTACAACAGTGGGATATATTATATGTATAATAATACCTCAATCTGCAGTGACTGAGAAGCTCATAGAGCCAATCTCTCTCTATCACACACACACACACACACACACACACTGCATAGATGGGTCTTAAGAGGATTATTGCAAAGGGGAACACCAAGCAATTGTGTCACCTATCATCATCACACCTGTTTCTGTCTTACTACACACAGACCCACACTCATAGACTGTGACAGGCTGCGGAAACAAAGCACTGGTACTCAGTGAGGATGGAGCAAGAATATGATATTATCGTGCTTGGAACTGGACTGAAGGTACGAAATTTATATTTGCTGTAAAATCTAAAATGAAATAATCTCTTTTGAATCTCTCTATATATATGATTCTGTTGGTTAACAGGATTTTATGCCTACTTTATTGTCAGTACAAAGCTTGAACCCCGTGAACTGAGCAGGCCATCTTTTGTCATGTGGTCTTAGGTGGAAATGTTCTGAGCTGACCAAAACCAGAAACCCCGCTGTGAGCAAGATATATATAAAGTGCTAAAAGAAAAGATACCTCACAATAACTGCGACCTTACCAAAACAGTTCTCAAGCAGAGGCACAGTCCTTTTACTGAGCACTTGCAATCATGACTTCTTTCATTTCCTCTTTTTGCTCTTGATTCAATAAGTGATTAAAGTCTGTAAGTGACTGGACTTTCTGCCATGTTTTTCTCGCTTTTACTAATGATCCACGTGCAGACTTGTTAAGCTCTTGCTGGCTGCTAAGGGGGATTTATGGCAATTACCTCTTTAGTCTAGTCCTGATCTGTATACCTTAAACTACCAGCTGCTGATTCGGACACATTTGCCCCTCTGTTTTCTTCCTCATCTCTTTCAGGAATGCATCCTCTCTGGTTTAATGACTCTAAGTGGGAAAAAGGTTCTCCACATTGATAAGAATCCTTATTATGGAGGAGAGAGTGCATCCATTTCTCCCCTTGAGGAGGTGCAGGCAAACAAATACAAAACTCATGAGCATGCATGCACGTACCTTCATTTGAACACTGCTGATAATAAGGTGTTTCCTTTATTTGCAGCTGTACAAGAAGTTTAAGACTCCGGGTCCTCCAAAATCGATGGGCAGAGGGAAAGAGTGGAATGTTGACCTCATCTCCAAATTTTTTCTTTCCACCGGTGAAAGTTTACTGTTTATTGGCAGGTGTTTGTGCAATGTCTTGCTGATTGTTTTGATAGAAATGAGCATGCTTTAATTTTTGGGTGCTGTGGTTTGTGCAGGTCAGATGGTAAAAATCTTGTTGCACACCGAGGTTACTCGGTATCTGGACTTTAAAGTCGTAGAAGGCAGCTACGTATACAAAGGAGGAAAAGTGCACAAAGTCCCCGCCAGTGAAAAAGACGCAGATGCTTCAGGTGCCAAATCAAGTCATTCCACTTTTTAAGACAAGTTTCCAGACGGCCATAGCTTTATAACGCTGAAAAAAACATATTTTCAGATCTGATGGGCATGTTCGACAAGAGGAGGTTCAAGAAGCTGCTGCTCTTTGCTCTGAACTTTGACATAAGAAACCCTCGCACCCACCATGATGTGGATCCTCACAAAACGACCACAAGGGAATTGTTCCATCGCTACGACCTGGGACTTGATGTCATAGAGTTTATAGGTCACGCCATAGCCTTGCACAACAGTGAGAGGTCAGTTATAGGAACTTAAGTGAAACAACACTGAAAACAGATTAGTAGGCATGATTTAAACCTGTCTACCTGCCGTCCTCGCAGTTACCTGGACCGGCCCTGTGTGGAAACCATCAGTCGGATCAGGCTGTACTCCGATTCGCTGTCCTGTCGAAACACCAGTCCGTACCTCTACCCACTGTATGGTCTCGGGGAGATACCACAGGGTTTTGCCAGGTCAGGTTCTCACTAGTTCTTTGATTTATGTTCATCAACAGTTTAATTAGTTTAATTCGACTATTTTAATTCGAGTGCAAAAATCCTAGATATTTGCACTCTAGGATTCAGTGCAAGTATATCATCATCAGCCTCCAGCAAGCATGACCTTTAGTGGATGTTCTTCCACTGAAAGTTAAAAGTGGCCCCTTTTTTAAATTTCCATATTATCAGTCAGTCAGCATGATTCACAATTCAAAATAAATCTTATTTATCATACACCAAGCCCCTCAGTTCATCCTTTAACAAAGGCTTCCTTCCACGTCCCTTTAAGAAAACTTTCTTCTGATTGGTTGCTCCTTGCAAACAAAAGGTTTGAGCAGCAGGTGGGTGGAGCTTATCTTCTTAAAGCTAGAGCTGCGTACCTGAAATGATCACATTAGGGAAATCCAGTCTTAATGACAACATTCAGAGCCAAGAGTGGGAAAAACTTTATAAAACCAAATGTTCAGAGTTGCTGATGTCTTTCTTTTAAACTTTTCTCATTTTTAATGTGAGCATGTGCCATTATAGCACTTTCTAGCACACATAAAGAAAAGCATAATAAAAGCTGTTTAAAGGAAATGTTCAGACATTCATGCTTGCACTTATAAGATCCAGTCCTCTTTGTGTTTCAGACTGAATGCAGAGTATGGAGGAACGTTCCTGCTGAACAGGGCAGTGGATGAAATTGTGATGGATAGTGGCAAAGTGAAAGCTGTGAAATCTGAGGGGAAGGTGGAGTAGACAAAATTAAGCCCTGCAGTCACTGTCCAGGAGGCATTTGTACTCCCACTGATGTGGTCTTTTTTTCTCTCCTTCTAACAGCTGTTCCACTGCAAACAGTTAATCTGTGATCCCAGCTACGTTCCCAATCGAGTGAGGAAGGTGGGGCGTGTCATTAGGGCGATCTGTTTTTTAAATCATCCAGTTAAACACACTCATGATGTCAGCTCCTGTCAGATCATCATCCCTCAAACTCAGCTTAACAGGAAGTCAGGTACTAAGTTATACTACCACAATATCTAACATGTACAAAGTTGAACCCTCTGACCTGATCTTCCTGGATTTGCTCCTTTACTACTTCCTCCTCCATGCAGACATTTATATATCTGTAGTGTCCTTTGCGCACAACGTGGCATCAGATGGGATGTACATCGCCACAGTCAGCACAACTGCAGAAACCACCAACCCAGAGAAAGAACTGCAGCCAGGACTCGAGCTCCTCGAACCCATCGTGCACAAGTTAGTGACACTCTGAAGACTTAAATCTGACAGTTTGTGTTTTTGTGGTGTGATTTAATTCAGTGCAATTCCTTCTTGTTGAATTCAGATTTGTGTCTGTCAGCAATCTGCTAGTTCCAAATGAAGATGGAAAAAAGAGTCAGGTAATGATGGGGTTTCCCCAAAACTAAAGCAATGACACGACTGAAAATAGGATGGTGGCCTTAATTTTTTTTAAAATCTCTTCTGTCCTTTTAGATATTTGTGTCCCGCTCGTATGATGCAACAAACCACTTTGAGACTGAGTGTGAGGACATCAAAGACATGTACCAGCGACTCACAGGGACAGAGCTCAGCTTTGCAGGATCCAGGCACCAGTCTCATAACTCTGATGACGACTGAGGACAGCTTGATGTCAGCAGCTGGGAGGCCGTAAATGTATGTGGTGTATAATCATCATTCATGGATGATTATATGCCACAGCTGTAAAGCAGAGGGTGTGATGTAGGGTGTAGACTGAACAGAGAGTGTGCTACGTAACTGCCTGACGTCTCTTTTGCCTCTTAATTTGTTTGCTGTAATTTCTCTCTCGTGTGAAAATCTGCTAAATAATGATGTTGCTACTTTGTTATGAGAGAAGGTAATACACCAATATGACTTTTCTGCTGGATAGTTTTTACATCGGTTGTTTACACCAGAGTGAAACTTTTTATTTTATTTTATATTACTTATCAAGTTATATTGACTAAAAAACAGAAAATGTCGTGAAAGTATTGAATGTAGTGTCTACCTTCACATTCAATGTTTGTTTGCTCTTCAAATTCACTTATGTATGGCTGAATAATTTCTGCATAAGGAAAAGAGGTCGCCTAACTGGATGTCAGTCAATCAATCAATCAATCAATCAATCAATCAATCAAGGCTTTATTCGCCACAAGCAGGTTGCCCTGCAGTGAAATGGCCTTACACACACACACACACACACACACACACACACACACACACACACAACACAGACATCAAATGGGGATACAGGTCAGAGATCGGTAGCGTTACAGAAAAAAAAAACAAAAAAAAAAACACTGAAATATACACTACAATAGGAAAGTACAAGAGGGGAAAAAAAAGAGACCTCTACTCATGCTGGGCTCCTGGGAGGACAGCATGAGAACAGGAGAAAAAAAACCTCCTCTGCACAAAAAGCACATAAATGTCCACAGCACAACATTATGGAACACGTGACAAGCAACAGGGATGGGTAACTTTAACCAAAGTTAAAGTTAATTAGATAGATTTTTTTTAAAGTGTTGATCAGTGAGAGTGTTTATGAGCTGCAACATGCAG